CATGTCAAGTTTCAAGAGCTGAGTCATAGTAAACAAGAGTAGTCTGAAAGCCTGTGGGAAGAATCTGTTCTAGGTCAAGTGTTTTAAATGCTCCAAAGCTGCAGATCACGCTTCTTTGTCAATGTACATATATCACATATAGTGGCAGCATGTAAGTATGTTAATGTTACATCTCTGAGCAGCATTATAAGATAAGTGTTAGAACAGAACAGAGCAGAAGAAGCAGAGCTGCAATGCATCAATACATCTACAGTAATTAAAGTGATGTCATCATAGCACATTTGCATGCATGTTTTACTTACTTTACACCAAATCGATCCATAAACATGATGTGGTTTCGAAAGGTCCTGTTGATATCAAGGTCGATCTGTTTGATTTCGGAAGAGTACAGCAGGGCTTGCTCCTTCATTGTCTATCAATCAAACAAACGGCTTTATCAAAAACAGTTTCGTCTTTGACAGACTACCATGCATTACAAGATGACGTTAGAAGACAAACATCTCTCGGTTTAATTATTATGTGATATTATATCATTTATAACATTGAATGGGGTTTATTTTGCCATGATTTTACAGTACAGTTCAAATGTTGCATTTATTTGATGTTAAATTAGTTAAAACCAATATTGTAGAATATTATTACAATTTTAAATAACTGTTTTCTGTTAACTGATATTGTTATATATTTTCAAATGTAATTTATTTATGTGATGGCAAAGCATCCATTAGTTCAGTCTTCGGTGTCACATGATCCTTCAGAAATCACTGTAATATGTTGACTCAAGAAACATGTATTATTATCAATGTTGAAAACTACTTAATATTTTTGTTTAAACTGTGATACAGTTTTTCCTTATATATATATGTATATGTATAAACTGTATCACAGTTTCTCACAAAAATATTAAAAAGTAAAAAAAGTAAGTTCCCTATCGAGGGAACTCAAACTGCGTCCAAGTGACACTTTGGGGGGAACGCCCCTCAGCGTAGCGTCTCTGAAGCATGAATGAAACTAAGCCAATCTCCGATTGGATCAACGTGATGACGTGATGTGTGACGACACATAGGCGGAAGCATATATAAGGAACCGGCACACACAACATGTCAGCTTTCTGTTCTTCAGCTAAGCGCTCTCTGTGACTGTCAGTCTTATTTATTGTTTGTCTGTCTAAGCATATCTCCCTAAAATCTAAATAATGGCGAGTGTTAATTTCAGGCGGTGTGTGCACCCTTGCCCTCGCTACATCACGGGCGGGGACACACACCAACTGTGTACACATTGTCTGGGAATGCAGCACGCGCAGGCAGCTCTCGAGGGAGCTGCTTGCGAGCATTGTGAGGCTTTACCGCTCCGCGTGCTGCGTTCCCGGCTGGCCCTTTTCAATGAAGAGGGTCAGCCTCGTGAGCCCCGTGGTGCGGGACCCGCGTCCGCCGAGGCGGCGCGGCGACGCTCTTCATGGGGCTCGCAAATGGATCTGTCTGGGGATCCCGAGGCTGCTGAGGCACCTTCTCGGGATTCATCGGACAGTTCCGATGCCCTCGAGCCTCGCGCAGAAGCCCGCTCGGCGGCTTCTTCTGCGCGAGTCGAGGATCCGATGCTTGAGCTGTCTGCTTCCGAGGAGGTGGACGTGCTCAGCATCGAAGGGGGCGGGGACTTCGGGGATGACTCGCCACCCCCGTGTCCCCGCATATGAGGAGCTGGTAGAGGTTGTTTCCCGTGCAGTGGCTCATTTAAAGATCGATTGGCCACAAGAAAAGCAGGAAGTGCAAGTTAAAAGCAAATTAGATGAGCGCTTCCTGCAGCACAGGGAACAACCTCATCATCGGGGCTTACCGTTTTTTCCCGATTTGCATACTGAGGTGTGTAAATCGTGGAAGAAACCCCATTCTTCTCGTGTTTCCAATCCCACTATATTAAAATATAGTAATATCATGGGGGCACGAGAGAATGGTTATGGGATGATGCCGCGGGTTGAACAGCCTTTGGCTAATTATTTATCACCTGAGTCGGCATCATCCTTTAAAGCCCCGGTGCTGCCCACCAAGCCATGCAGAGAAACATCTTCACTGGTGGGCAGGGCATATATGGCTGCGGGTCGGGCTGGTGCGAGTCTTCACACCATGGCGCTTCTCCAAGCGTACCAGGCCGACCTTCTTAAGGATATTGATGAGGGCGAGGGACCAACTCCGGAGGATGTGGCGGAGTTGAGGAAGGTCGCTGATTTGTCTCTCCGAGTCACCAAAGAGACGGCCCGCGCTGTCGGTCGCTCCATGGCGGCAATGGTGGTCTCGGAGAGACATTTATGGTTAAATCTGACGGGCATCAGGGAGAAAGACAGGGCTTTCCTCCTTGATGCCCCGATTTCGCCTTCTGGCCTGTTCGGCGACGCTGTTAATACCGTTGTCGACAGGTTTCAGGAGGCGAAAAATCAATCAGCGGCCTTCAAACAATTTCTCCCTCGTCGCTCAGTATCCGGGAAGTCTGCCCCCAGTGGGCAGTCGCAGCCTCAGCCAGGTACCAGCTCCTCCACCTACAGGCAGGTTCAGAGAGAGAGCGTCGCGTCTAGAGCCCCCCCTCAAGGAGCTTGGGGGCATAGACGGCGCTCTCAATCTAAGCCGCAAGCCAAGCAGGGCGACCTGAGGGCCGTCCTGCAGGCTAAGAAAACATCTAAGAGGTCCTAGCAGTGCTAGGATCTCTGCGGGCGGCCCCACCCGTGATGGAGCGACTGAGGTCGTCTCCCTCGCGGAGCCCGCAGGAAATCGATGTTGTTCTCCCGCCGTCAAGTACGTTTCGGGACGCATCGGTTTCCAGCGATCGCAAGCTGCTTTGTCCGCCCCACGAGCCTGCGGACGGGCAGCGATTGCGTTCGCCCATCGAGAATCGTTTTCGGTCCAGTCCTGCCGGAGATTCGTTTCAGGCGGTCGAGAACGAATCCCGATTAATACCCGAAACCAGGCTCGAGAGCCTGGTTCCCTTGGCGAAATATTTCGATGCATGGAAAAATCTAGCGAATATTTCCCCGTGGGCGCTGCGCACGATACAATACGGGTACAGGCTGCAGTTCGGGTTCCACCCACCCAGATTCAACGGGGTGGTCTGGACTGTAGTCAACCCGACGCAGGGTCGGGTATTGGAACAGGAAGTAAACTCCCTGCTGGCAAAGGGGGCCATAGAGCATATTCCTCCACTAGACAGGGAGTCCGGGTTTTACAGCCGCTACTTTATAGTTCCCAAAAAAGATGGGGGGTTGCGTCCGATCATAGATCTCAGATATCTGAACCGCTCTCTGAGGAGATTCAGGTTCAAGATGCTCACTATTCCCATGATCGTGAGTCAGATCCAATCCGAGGATTGGTTCGTCACGATAGATCTGAAGGACGCATACTTTCATATATCCATCCTTCCATCCCACAGGAAGTTCCTGAGGTTCGCTTTCGGGGGCGAAGCGTACCAATATCGGGTTCTTCCATTCGGCCTAGCTCTCTCTCCCCGCACATTCACCAAATGTATGGATGTAGCTCTAGCACCTCTGAGGCTCCAGGGCATCAGGGTGCTCAACTATATAGACGACTGGCTGATTTTGGCCCAGTCTCAAGAGCTGGCGGTTCAGCATCGAGATGTTGTTCTTGCCCACATCCAGAAACTGGGGTTGAGACTAAACACGAAGAAGAGCGTGTTGATACCAGCCCAAAGGACTACGTTCCTGGGAGTGGTATGGGATTCGGTCGTAATGCGGGCACGATTGTCGCCTGCGCGAGTCGAGTCCATTCTGGCCACAGTGGCTGGGATAAAGCTAGGCCAAGCCGTCACTGTCAAGCATTTCCAGAGAGTGCTGGGACTCATGGCAGCAGCGTCCAACATCATTCCATTTGGCCTGCTGCACATGAGGGCCCTCCAGTGGTGGTTAAAAACCAAGGGGTTCTCCCCGAGGGGAAACCCGTTCCGCACAATCAGAGTTACGCGCAGATGCCTTCGTTCTCTGGTTATGTGGAAGAAAGCTTGGTTCTTGTCCCAAGGTCCAGTGTTGGGAGCGCCATGTCGCCGGAAAACCGTTTCGACAGACGCTTCCCTCACGGGCTGGGGCGCGGTCATGGACGGCCGCTTCACGACAGGCCTATGGCGGGACCATCATTCCTCCTGGCACATAAACTGCCTGGAAATGTTGGCGGTCTCCCGGGCTCTGAGGAGCTTCCTGCCGGACCTCAGAGGTCATCACGTCCTCGTGAGGTCAGACAGCATGTCAGTGGTGGCCTATATAAACCATCAGGGGGGCCTGAGGTCTCGCCCTCTATGCAGACTGGCGCATCAGATCCTCCTGTGGTCCCAGGGGAAACTGTTGTCTCTGAGAGCAACATACATCCCGGGAAGTCTAAATCAGGGAGCAGACGTCCTGTCGAGACAGGGGCTGAGGCCCGGGGATTGGAGACTTCACCCCGAGGTGGTGGAGTCGATATGTCAGAGGTTCGGCCCTGTGGAAGTGGACCTGTTTGCGTCTCGAGAGACGACCCACTGTCCGCTGTGGTTTTCCCTCACCCCTCCAGCCCCACTGGGGCTGGATGCTATGGTGCAGACGTGGCCGAGGCTGCGTCTGTATGCATTTCCCCGATCGCTCTGCTCCCGGGAGTTCTGGAAAGGGTCCGTCGCGACGGGATCAGTCTACTGTTGGTAGCCCCGTTGTGGCCGGCCCGAGTATGGTTCTCGGACATAATATTGCTCCTAGACGGCCCTCCGTGGGAGATTCCCCTCAGGAGGGACCTGCTGACACAGGCGGGGGGCTCAATATTTCACCCTCGGCCGGAGTTATGGAAACTGTGGGTCTGGCCCCTGAGGGGGCACAGTACCTAGAGGCCGGCCTGTCAGCTGGAGTAGTGGAGACCATACTCAGCTCTAGAGCTCCCTCCACGAGGAAACTGTATGGTTTAAAGTGGAATGTGTTTATTGATTGGTGTAGGAGGCGTGAGGTTGACCCAGTTAACTGCCCAGTGGCTTCAGTGCTGGAGTTCCTCCAAGATCGCTTCTCCTCTGGTCTTACCCCGTCCACGCTCAAGGTGTACGTGGCTGCCATTGCGGCTTTCCACGCTCCGTTGGGTGATGGGTCTCTGGGGAGACACCAATTGATCGTACGTTTCCTCCGTGGAGCTTGGAGGATGAGACCTGCGGCTCGTACCAGGGTTCCCTCTTGGGACCTGGCAGTAGTTCTAGAAGGATTGGCTGAGGCCCCCTTCGAGCCACTGGAGTCGGCTGAGGCCAAGAACCTAACGCTGAAGGTCGCTTTTCTGTTGGCCATCACTTCTCTGAGGAGGGTGGGAGATCTTCAGGCGCTCTCCATATCTAACGAGTGCCTGGAGTTTGCTCCAGGCAACATTAAGGCCATCCTTCACCCTAGGCCTGGCTATCTGCCTAAGGTGCCATCTAATGTGGCACGGCCTACGGTTCTGCAGGCATTTCATCCCCCACCTCACCTGACGGCGGATGAGGAGAGACTTCATAGGCTCTGCCCTGTCAGAGCACTAGGGATATATATTCAGAGGTCCTCTTCATGGCGGAAGGCGGACCAGTTGCTGGTATGTTTCGGGTCGCCCAAAAAGGGGTTTCCGGCCTCAAAACAAACCATCAGCAACTGGATTGTCAATGCGATTTCCACAGCTTATCAGGTGCGCGGTATGCCTTCACCTTTGGCTGTGAGGGCCCATTCCACTAGAGGCATAGCATCCTCTAGGGCCCTTCTCGCAGGGGCCCCCATCCAGGAAGTCTGCGATGCAGCTGGATGGGCTACCCCACATACCTTCATTAGGTTTTACAGCTTAGACATTCCGTCGACACCCGGCTCTCTTGTGCTCGCGTCCTGAGTGTGCCTGTGAGCAGCTTCACACCAGGACAGGCAGGGCGCGTTGTGGCGTAGTGGGTACTCGTTCCCCCAAAGTGTCACTTGGACGCAGTTTGAGTTCCCTCGATAGGGAACGTCCTCGGGTTACGACTGTAACCCTTGTTCCCTGAGAAGGGAACGAGAACTGCGTCTCGTGGCCACGCCTTCCCCTGCCTGGGAGCGCTTGCTTCATCACAGAAGCTGACATGTTGTGTGTGCCGGTTCCTTATATATGCTTCCGCCTATGTGTCGTCACACATCACGTCATCACGTTGATCCAATCGGAGATTGGCTTAGTTTCATTCATGCTTCAGAGACGCTACGCTGAGGGGCGTTCCCCCCAAAGTGTCACTTGGACGCAGTTCTCGTTCCCTTCTCAGGGAACAAGGGTTACAGTCGTAACCCGAGGACGTTCTTCAAAGGTCATGTTGCAAGTATACAGTTTAGGGATCATTACACAAAAATATCTGACCATTAAATACTGCTAAATATTTGTATATCAACACCAGGGGTACCATGTTCAGCGACAACGATGGAGGCAATTTGTCTCTTGATTTTTGTAAAATATCAGCAGCTTTGAAGGTTTGTTTAGCTTGTGTTTTGTTCTTTCCTATCTCTTTCCATGCCATATATCAGCCATCTGTCTGTTTTCAGATCACTCTCTAATCCCTTTGAAATAGCTCTACCACACCACTCCAGTAATCCCACTCTCACCAAACACCCGGCTTTAGGCCAGCAGAGACTCGCGGCTACATACAGTAGTGTCCATAGGAGCTATTGCGTGGAAATGTGTATGCATGGATGTTTTTAACCCTTACCTCATATTTTCCTGCATTATCGCTCTTTACTTTCTCGACATCCAGTAGCAGGGCCCAAGCCTGTCCTCTCAGCTGTAGAGGGATGCCTTTATACACCCGCTTAATCATCTGCACAAAGCCACCAGAATTAAGTGCAAGTGTTTGTGTGTGTGCCTATGTTATGGAAACAAATTGTCCACTCAAAGATAGCAATATACAAAATCCTTGTCCTTGTGGGGACATTTTTGGTCTTATAAATCAAACTAAGTGATGTTTTTATAAATGTATAAATGCAGAACGTTTTCTGTGATGGGTAAGTTTATGGTTAGAGGATCAAATTTGTACAGTATAAATAATATATCATTATTTATCATGTCTATGAAAGTCCACATACAGTATAAACATGAAAACCCATATGTGTGTTTTTTAAAAGATGCAGTGCTTTCACAGTGCTTTCTTTTGATTTTCAGATGAATGATTGCAACCTCTATGTGCAACTCACCCGGTCACTGTTCCAGTACTTGTTCCAGTTCTTCAGCATCTTCAGCCATTTCTGCACCCTCTCAATCTCCACATGTTTTTGCTACACAGGAGAAAACAATGAGATCTGATGAAGAATGATTTGCAAAAAAAATAAAAATAAATAAATAATTATAATAATAATTATATATATATTGTTACGATGCAGGAGGAGGCAGACAAGGGGTTGGATCCAAATGCAGTGATTTATTAATAACAGTTAAAACTAAAAGGACAAAATACAAACAAAGGAAATACCCACGATGGGGAAACAAAAACGCAAACACGGAAAACATCAAAGGCAGCACAGGCAGGATAAACATGAGGAAGAGCACGGAGACAGGCGTCCACAAACATCAACGATAGACAAGGGAATGGAGAACAAACAGGGTTTAAATACACTGGAGACATGATGATGACAAACTACAATCAGGTGAGCACAATGACACAGGGCTGGCAGTCATGAGTGCTGGGGATCATGGGAAATGTAGTTTTAACACGAAGACAGTGAAACACGGGGCGGACAACAAGGAAAACGTGACATGGAATGTGAACAGAGATGGGTGAAACAGAAAACAAGGGACAGACAACAAGGGATCATTACATATATATATATATATATATATATATATATATATATATATATATAAATACAGTATAAATACATATATGTTTAATTTCTGTTAATTTATCCTTATTTAAAAAATCATATTAAAATAACATGAACCATCATCATCATCATAATTAATAATAATAGATAATGACGATAAACATTTTTTCCCCATCTAAAACAATTAAAGAAACAAACAAACAAAAAAAAACGAAAGAAGCATCTTTCAGCCCACACTCAACAAGAATATGTTGGGTGTGGTTGTATGGTGCATATCACATGGCTATAATCCTTAGGTCCAACAGACCTTTCTTTCCTCATATGTACAAGTACTTCGGGATTAGATGCAGGATAGGAATTCAGATCAACTGATTTAACATCTGTTCTGAGGACAGGTTTCACTCTTTCCACCCTTAGTGTTTATCCTTTATGTGCCACAACAAGACTGCACAAATGTCAGCTGGAAAATGCATCTGCCACCTCCATGCAGTGAATGTCACATGGGAACAGTGGCGGCCTGTCAATAGGGGGCGCTGGGGCGCCGCCCCCATCAAGAAATATACATATACAAAAATTATATAAAAATACAACAATAAAATATTTTTTTTCATACGATGTACCGGCTGGTAGTAAGAAAAGCATCAGCATTTAATAAAAACTGGCTTTAATCGGTCAACTATTTTCTATGTTTTTCAATGTGTTTCATTGGGACGCCGGACTAATGGGTGTCTATGTGAGGCTTTAAATTTTCGTGCAACATGTGACCTGAAGCTGGCCTCTAATTGGTTTCTTAAAGATTCACCTCAGGGCGCAAGTCGTTGCGTCCCTGGCCAATCAGAATTTGATTCACGTTATTTTATCCAATATGATTGGTCTCGTCACCTGTCATTCAACTTCACGCTCTGGGCCACTACCAGAGCCGTTACTATACTATTTCGAGCGCGCAGACGACACCATTTCGACATTTTTTGTATAAATAATGGCAGCAGTTCATCCAAATTCTGTGATTTTTTTTTACAAAAAAACCCTTTCACAAGGCTTTCGCTGGAAGAAAAAAAAAGATAAAGGATCTCGGACCGGACCAACGTGTTAACCCGATTTACAAATTCAGCAGCAGGCCAGTGACAGGGGACGAAGCTTCACCCGCGCGTGTTATGAGAAACGGAGGTGGCTGGCTGGATGTGATATTAGCAATTCTCTGCCTTTTATTTCAAAGTGTCGGCACTGAAGTTTTGTGGACAACAACGGGGGGTAGGAGACCTCAAACATCTCTCTGAAAAATGCAAACGTACTTCTTTATTAGTATGAAATGTATATAAAAGAGAGCAATATGTTCAAGTAGGAAACATGCTTTCTGGTACTTCTTTACTAGTACGAAATAAAAGAGAGCAACATTTAAGTTCAAGTCGGAAACATGCTTTTTGGTACTTCTTTATTGGTATTAAATGTAAAAGATCATACATTTATATTTAAGTAGTAGTCAACATGGTTTTTGGTACTGCTTTGTATTTATTTGCCCTCCTCAATAAAAAAAATACAAATAAAAAATGCGCCCCCCCAAAAATAAATATCACCAGCCGCCACTGCATGGGAACACACCTCCAGACCGTCCAGCTGTGTCTGCCACACACTCTTGTATACTAAACGCTCATACCTGAAGGTCCCCCTAAGCCTGTTTACAAAAGAGTCTCCGCACTGCTACTGATTTAGTCTGTGATCCTTTGTGTTTCTGTCTGTGAATGTACATCATCTGTATACTATATTTACATGCTTGATTTGAGTATGTTTACATTACCTTCTCTTCAATGGCACTGGGTGTGGGTAATTCTTCTTCACTGTGGGAAAAACAAACAGGTAAATACACTATACCAACTAATAATACAATAATACAATCACAAACATTCCTGTTTGGATAGGATTAGGTTTAGAACCTGAGTAGACCCTCTGTAATTAGTACTGAGGTTGTGTGTCAGATGTGTTTGATTCAGACAGAATTAAAACCGTAAAGTACACTTTTTTTTATATAATTTGTTTGAAAAAATCTTCAAGCTTAATTAATTCAGTTTATTCCTTTGAGAGAAATGCTGAATTTCCAGCATCATTACTCCAGTGTCTTCAGTGCCACATGATCCTTCTGAAATCATTCTAATATCATGATTTGCTGCTCAAAAACTTTTCTTATTATAGATTTTTAAAACTAAAAAGAAAACAATTTTTAAATAAACCATTTTGTAACATTTTGTCTTCGCTGTCACTGTCAATTGAATGCATCCTTCCTGAATTAAAGTATTAGTTTTTTTCCAAAGAAAAAAAATATTACAGACCCCAAACAAGTAAATAGTAGTGTATGTCTTGTAAATCCTAAATTTGCATAGCCGTACAAGGGAAACTAATTTGTTTCCAACAGCATTATAGTCTTAAATCACTGCTTTATGTTTACATAATGCTGACAGACAATGTATGCTGATAAAAATGCAATAAATGAAAAAAGACACTGTCATTATGAGTGACAATTTATTTTCAGAAAAAATAAAATAGCTTTACGGGGATTGAAGAGCATTTAAATGCATGTTTCACTTGACAATATACTGGATGTTGGGTTTTACCCAGGACTTACTGAAGAAATCCAAAGCGATCCGTAACTCTGTATATGCTGTAGTCTGCATCCTCCCAAGGATCGATCTGAACTCCTGCGTCTCTACCCTGAAATACACACATAAGCTAATACTTTATTTTGTCTCATTTGTACACAGACTTTGTTGAGTTTATCAAAGGTGCAACAATTCCTCCAATTCCAGGCCACTTGTAAGCATCTGTTGCCTTTAAATTCCTCCAATTCCAGGCCACTCGTAAGCATCTGTTGCCTTTAAAGGCAACAGTACTGAAGTTCTAGACTTCCGTGAGTGATTATATTATTTTCATAATTATATAAATAATGGTAATGTAATAACACATTGAATGCTATGCTATAATATAATTAACAAATCATAAATTTATAATATTATGAATATGAAATAAATTTAGAAATATAAAATAAATTTGTTGCCTAGTGATAATGGCAGCAGTAAATCTGCGTTAAAGTAAGCAGTTAACTGTGTGTGACAATGTGAGCCAAATAAAATTCTGCATTTAACTGACTAGTTGGTTGACGGTTTTAAAACAAGTAAGTAAATAACTATAATACACGTGGGCACATTGCAGTTTTTATAAACTGAAAAACGAACTTGACTAAAACAAATAAATATCATATGCAACACATTTTTGCACATTATCACGAATGCGTACTTTGGTGATCTGAATCTACACCTCATCACTTTTTGCCATGACTAATTTTGTCTCCATCCCACCCCAGTGATACAAGGGGAAACATTTCTAATAGTCGTGCTGAAGCTTTCATTTTGTTTGTGTGTTGTAAGTGGCCGTTCTATGCTGGAGCTTGTCATGTGTTGCTGAGTCGTCGATGCAATTATGGATAATGACAGCAGCAAAATTCTCTGTAGCACACAGCTTTCAACACACTTTTCTGTGGCTCGCAAAACATCCTAGTGAATTACTAAACGCAAACAAATGTGTCCCAACTCTTGTCATAAAACCAATGCCACTGAGTTCAGCTGACGTTTAAAAGCTTTTCCAGTTGGTGTGGATTGATTCCCTGAGGGGGGACAGCTGCTGCTTGCCTGCCCTCTCCTCAACCCCATGGTGGAGAGAAGAGTGAAAAGCAAGCAGTGATGTGTGATTGTGGGATTATTGTCCCAGTATTCCCCCAATTTCAAATGAGTCTGTTAAAAGTGTCATGATGTGTCGTGGTCAGATTGATCACCATGTCATCCATATAGACCACAAACACTTTGTTGGTACAAAAAAACCTTCTGTCTGTTGCACTAGCACATAAAACCACCTTTAACACCTCCCAACGTTTTTTTCCCTCTTGACACAGGGGAGCGCGGGGCACAACCTAATGCGGGGTTAAATGTAACACGGACCTTTTACATAGTTCGTCAGGATCGTCAGGTTGTCTTTCCGCTCTTTTTCTCTTGCTGCCAGAAGACGGTCTCCCACGAATTTGCGGAAAGTTTTGATGATATTTCATGAAGATACTGGACAAAGAGTTTTGACACCATGCAAGTAAATTTTCATCATAGATTTTTTTCGGTTTCTGAGTAGGGTGTATACGTTTCCAAATCTAACTTTATATTGCCTTTATCACTGTCTTGTTTGCTCAAACATAGCACCATTTTGAAACATGTCAGCAATTCCTAGCGAAAGTGTAATACACAGAAAACGGAGCCACACAACTCTCCAGGTTTGAGTATACATTTTACTTTGTTGGACTTTCATAAACAATGTTGGAATTTAAAATGTTTAAAATTTAGTGTACTATGAATGATACCTTGTTTATTTATTAAAAATATGGCCTGTTTTTAATGCAATAAACCCTTTACATTTTTATTCTAAGCTCATTTGTATTATTATTACTGTTATTATTATTAATGCTAATAATTGTACATGCAGCTGCCACACACAAATCTAATTTAATTGCAATTACAATATTTTATAATTTTATTTGTTATTATTTATTGCAAAACTTTGCAGCCCTTTTCTATGTCTTATCCATGATATTGATCCATAATAGAAGGATGATTGGATGAGGGATGGGTGTATGGATATCTATCTATACAGATGCAAAACAATATCAAACTATACAAATAAAATAGTACTGAATTATGTGTGTTACACACAACTAACCCCTCTGTCTGTTACAATTAACCCCACATATGGGGTAAGTTGTAACATTTGCACTTCTGTCACTTTCAGTGCAACTGTACGAAAATGGTAGGTCCTAGAAATTTTTTTTAAGTGTTCATTTGTAGCAGAGATGTGTATGTTGCTTGTGTAAAAAAATACAGTATTAATCTGACCTGATTATTTTTTAATTAATTGAGCCAAAACCAAAATGCATTAGGTTGTGCCCCGCTCTCCCCTATCTGAGGGAGTTTCCTTTCGAGGGAACTCGAACTGCGTCGAATGACACTATGTCAGCTTTCTGTTCTTCAGCAAGTGCTCTATGTTGTATGTCATATTTGGTGCTGTCTGTCAATCACACAAAGCATATATTTATATGTATATATTAGGGGTGGCACGGTACATGAAAAAACACCCGAACCGTTCGGTTCGCTTGTCTCGGTTCGGAGCGCGTGTGCGTCTCACGGTTCGACGCATGCGCAATGTAACCTCGTGCCCGTATGTGACGTGTGTTTTCTTTTCGCGCGACATAAACTTGTTCGACTTGGACCGGCGCTGCACAGAGCGACCGGTGAATAACATCAATCTAGCGCGAGTCGGCTCCGTATGCATTCATCACTTTCGCGGTATTTGATGTCATTACCGATCGCTCTGTGCAGCGCCGGTTCAAGTTAATAAACAAGCCAGTAAAAGTGGAGTATGGAGCGCTGCAGGTCACGGCACGCGGAGAAATGGCAAGTGGGAGAGATGAGGGAGTTGGAGGACGCGCCAGCGTCGTATAAGTCTATGGTATAAGTCCGGTGTGTGGGTACATTTTGGATTTCATGTTATGATATTTTAATTTAACTACAGTGGCACTTTATGTATAGATAAGAGCTTCAGTCATACGTTTCCAAACCCTGCACTTTAATTTTAAGTGGAAAAAAGTACCCTCACATTTTGGGAATAGAAGCATTGTTGATACTGTTTTTGTGTTGAGGTTGAATTTCAATTTCACTTTATGTTTATGGCCTTTGCTAAATTGCTATTGCTATAGCTTAATTATCTATAGGCAATGAGGTTTCATGTATATTGACATTTAAAAGACAGTGTTTTAAGAGTTCCTCTATTTTTCTTTAATTTTGGTAAGAGCTACAAAAGTTAGCAGTTGATACATGAAAGTTAATTTCTTTGTGTAAATAAGATTTATGTGATAAAAATGCACAAGTTCTTGTAGAGATAGTGATACACATTCTCCTTTTTTTGCCAAATAAACAAAAAGCATGTCAATTTCTTCTCTCTTGCTGTGTCAAAATCTCAGCTAGCTTTCCTCTGAGATAGTCCCAAAATGTGCTTAAAGTCAAAGAGTCAAATTCAGTTTGTGCATGATTGCATGAATATAATATATATTTTTTAAATACTGTATCCTAAAGTGTGGATAATTAAGCTATATATCACATGCTGAAGTACATTTCTGGAGTGTTAAAGATTAAAAGAAAAAATAACAAGAACCGTACAGAACCGAAAACCGTGACCCTAAAACCGTGATACAAACCGAACCGTGGGTTTTGTGAACCGTGCCACCCCTAGTATATATATATATATATATATATATATATATATATCATAGGGAGTGCAAGTTTCAGATGTTGTGTGCATCCCTGCCTTCACTACATAACGGGTGGGGACACACAAAATTTGTGTGTGTATTGTTTGGAAGTGCAGCAGAGGATTGCGAAGCTT